GCTCACTTGGTAGCCCAGGCTGGCCTCGAACTCACAGAGATCCGCCTGGCTCTGCCTCCCGAGTGCTGGGATTAAAGGCGTGCGCCACCAACGCCCGGCCTTATAACACATTCTTAAACAGTACTTGAGAGACCACTTCTTAATTTGATAGTCCAAGCTCTGCCTACTTCAGGGAATTTTCTAAAGATGCCAGCCTGAGATAATAAAAATTCACTTTAAAACATAATTTATAAAGAAATTTGGGGTCGTAGTTGGGTAGTGGGGAGCCAGTGAATTCCTGGGTGAATGTGTATTGTTAATGGAGGCACAGCCATGTCAAGGACCCCAGTGCCTCAGCCCCGTGGGAGTGGCAAAGCCCTTCCCTCCTGGCTCATGTGTGGCTATTGATAGTGTGTGTAAAAATGTCTAGCGTGGCTTTGTCCCCTCACCCCATATTTACAGCCTGAGGCTGCTTCCCCCCAGAAACTGCTCCTACCATAATTACCTAACCTGGAGTCCTTGACTCCTTATTCAACTCTGTATAATAAACACACTGAACTTGGGGTGCTGCAGTGTCTCCATCAGAGAGTTCACACCACCCAATCCCAGCTTTTCTGTGTGTGTCTGAGCTTTCTTTACTCCCTCATCGCCTTAATCAGGGTTCTGGAAACCAAGCCATGCAAGGACTCAGAAAATAATGTCTTAAGCCTGATCTTCCAGATTTGCTCCCTATCTCACTTCTGCCTACGTGTGTGGCTTTCAGAAAGTTACTCAGTCTCTGTAGGCTTCAGTTTCCTCATCTATCAAATGGGTAGTGTTATTTGACTTTGTCCTGGATTCCATGGTCTTTTCTGACTTTCACTGCAGACCTAATGCCTACAGCTGGGAGTCTCTTTGTTAATAATAGATGCAGCTGTACAAATCTTATTCTCATGCTGTCTTATTTTCTATTTGCTTTTTGAATGTATCTGTAGACTCGGAACTAACAGAACCAAAGTATAAGACAAGCAGTAGGCAAAGCAGAGTTTATCTGGTAAGTTTTCCTGACATCAAGTATGATACCAGGCATAAAGTCACATGGTACAGAATACTTAATAATGGAAAAATAGAATAAAAGAAAAAATAATGTATGTACGTAAATACATGATTCAAAATTATATATAAAAGTATTAAAAGTTAGACATCTAATGGTAACTTAGGTTAGCAACAGGCTACAAAATTATTTTGACTTATTTTCCTCCTCTGTACTTTTATGAACCTTCCCAAGGTTATATAACTGATACATTTAAAAGTCAGAAAGAAGGTTTTTGTTCCAAACACATTTTTCCTAGAAAACAGTATTTCTAATGAAGTTAAGTACAAATCCTGTAATTACATGAAAAAGAGGTTACTTCAACACAAGCACTACAACACCTCCCACAGTGACCTGTGGCTACCTGGTGGCAGCAACCAGTAGTTGTGCTGAGTGCTTGCCAGACAGAGAGGATTCATTCATATACAGCCTGGGCTAGACAGGGCAGGACCAAGAGAATTCAACACGGTATTCGGAACAGCACCCAACTTAAAATTAACAAATATTAAATTTGTTATTTAATTCAGACCACAGTCAACTACTGATGTCTGAAACTGCAGCAAATGAGCTGAGTGAGGGCCAAGTACCATGCTTACGTGGCCTCTATTCTACCCACCAGTGACGCATTTGCCCCCTGACGCCCCAAAATTGGGAACAAAGCATTGGTCTAGTCATTGAGTGCTTAGAGAAAGTGTCAGTTTTCATTGCTGCCTTCACCCAGCCCCCTAAGAAACACTCTAGTGAAGTGTTGTTTACCAAAGCTCTGGTTAAGAAACCAATCATTAAAGGCTTTTACTGGCATAATCTTTGCCATAATAACTTTGGGACTCAACTCTTTATTTGCTGAGGCTTCCAACAGCATAAACTAGAGAGGAAGAGGAGTCAGTCAGACACAGGCATGGCCACTGTTAAGGAAGAAGGACCCAACTAAGGGCTGGTCATCTGAAGTCAATAGCTCATAGACCACAATTCCCAGAGCAAGGCACCAAATGGAGTCCAAGGGAAGACTCCAGGTCAAGCACGTATCTGGAATGTGGAACAATGGAGTGGTCAATTTGTAGATGATTCTGCAAGAAAGGTTATGCCCATTGAGCCTCTACTTCCAAGGCACCAGATAGGTTTCAACAAAACAAATCCCATACCCCACTCCTTCACAGAGGCAAGGAATCTAATGTGCTCTCAGATGAGGGTGGTGACAGATATGGAAATCATGGCCTCCACAGGAGGAAAGGTTCATGAACAAAACCAACTTCTGAAAATAAAACCAGAAGTCCCATTGAGGACTTGGTCCCTTTAATTGCCCCATATTAAATGGCTTTGGTTTACATCTAGGCCCTTCCTTTGAGCAGTCTCTTTGTGAACTGTCATAGCCAAGAATCAAGCTCACCTAGTGCAGAACTACTGAAACCAAGGGCTGGCTATATCAGTGGCCAGCTGATGAATGGAATATGTCCATCCTCACTAGCCCATGGGCATTTAAGGCCTTTCTAAGAAGCTCCCCAGACACAATTCAGCCTATGATGTACAATAAAATACAAAATCTGGGATAAAACACACTAGGAAAACAAAACTAAGAATACACACCAAAACAAACAGTATAAGAAGCTGACAAGAGTCAACACAAACACACGCAAAAAAAAAAAAATGGTCAGAAGCTGGACTGTCGCCAAGTCTAACTTGACTTGCAGATGTGCTCACAACCAGCCTGACCCATCCAGCCTGACCCATTTATAAATAGAAGAGGTTCCTTGCTCAGGACTACCCTCTCCTCACAACACATTGGGAAATGGCAGCATCCCTTACAGCCTGGTCCTGATGCTGAAGTGTGCTCCACATGTTCTCACATGGGACCTCAGTAACCACACTAAAACCTAATACCCCTAATACCAGAGGTTGCTCCTAGAAATTGGAGGTCTCGGTTAAATGGTGGAAATGCAACCTACATTCATGTGGGAGCAAAAACCCCAACCAAGTTAAGCTTGTAAACCAGCAGCACTCTACTAGTCATGCAACAGTAAGCACAGAAAATATAGAAGGTGTGGTACATTACCCAAAAGCCCTGCTAAAGACCGCATGTCCTTCTCCATCAGCATGTAAATCTCTTCCTCCGAGAAGCGGCCAATGCCGTGGCCGTGCATCTCCCGCTTCACAATTCCTTTTGTTATGTGGCACACGACCCACCTGAGCAGGTTACTGAAGGGACCACCACCACTAAGAGACAGCATCTTCCGGGTCTCATTGAGATTGTCCACCCACTGGCAATAAGCTAATGTCCTGGAATTGTGTGGAAACAAGTTACTAGTGTGCATCAGAGACGTGTAGTAGTTCTGCAGTCACTTTCAAAAGCATCGTTCAGAATTTAATACTTTCTGGAGGAACCAAATAACTGCAGTGTTTAACCTGAGTGGAAGGTCCTATCACAACAGCTCTGGTCAATGTCTAGCCTTACAAGCTTTGAGAGAAACAATGACATTCTATATTCCTGTTTAACTGAAACTCCCCAGTCACCTGCCCTCAGACTCCTCTGCTTTCTCTTACGCTGTCTCACAGAAAGCTGTAGCTTTTCAGTCAAGCCAGTAAGCGCTATGGGTGCACAGCAGTGGCAGTGGCAAGCGAGGGGAGCGCAACATTCCTGTCGGGAGCTTAAGGATGGCTCCACAGGCAGGTGCTTTCTACTAAGGCATGTATATCTGTTTTCTACACTGCATGCATCTTACATTTCATGGTGAAAGAGGTTGGGTTCCTTTTTAAGACACTTTTTTGCCTTTTGGACAAAGATTAAGGGGAAGGTACACCTATGTCTATATTTCATAAATTATATTCTCTGCATATGTAAATTATTTGCTCTCCAGAATCAACTCTCTCCCTCAGGCTGTTCCCAATGATTTTAAGTATTCACCCAAGGACCTGTGAAGTCACTTTTCCCACTGGGTGGCGTTTGTGGCAAACTCACCCATCCAGTGTTCCCATGGGACACACACAGACAGTCAAGCATCGTACTGGCTGCAATGCCTACACTTTTCCTAACTTGGTTTTAGAAGCCTGTACAATCTCAAAAGCATTTTTTATAGTGAACGAGGTTATTAGATATAGAATAAATGGTTCCCTGTGCAAAGAATGTAGCTGTGAGAGTATATACATGAAAAATTTAATTTTTCTTCATATTGAAAAAAAATGTATTGACCATCATCTCTACCCCTAATGTGGGCTGATATGTAGTAATGGCCTCTTAAAAATCAGAAATGTAAGCCGGGCGGTGGTGGCGCACGCCTTTAATCCCAGCACTCGGGAGGTAGAGCCAGGTGGATCTCTGTGAGTTCGAGGCCAGCCTGGACTACCAAGGGAGTCCCAGGAAAGGCGCAAAGCTACACAGAGAAACCCTGTCTCGAAAAACCAAAAAAAAAAAAAAAACAAAAAAAAAAAATCAGAAATGTAAAACAAAAAAGTTTACATAACAACACAAAGGATGATAGTAAGTTGTACCTACAAAGAAATAATATTTTATACATTAAGAAGAAAGCCTGGGGTGTATCTCAGTGATATATGATTTGCCAGCATGTGCAGGCCCTAGCATCCATCTCTAGCACCACCAAAAAATGTCCTAAAATTTTTAGCATTTTTATGTAGTTATGCTCTATCGGGGTCCTCTCCACTAAAAAATGGAAATACACAAGAAATAGATTTACCTAGAGTTTTTTAATCATTCTTGAATTTTTACTAAAAAGTCCTAATTTTAATGCACTCTCCTTACTACAACCATATTTAACTCTATCCTATTATCTTTCAAAAAGAATACCTACAACTCTTGTAGAAAGCTCTGTGTGTGTGTGTGTGTTTCATAAATCTCTTGAAATAAAATATTGCAAAGCAAAGAAATGAATTTTGCTGAAAATAAGAAAAAGTGCTTCCCAGCAATATTTCAGTGTGCATAGACAGTGTGGGTAATGGGTCTTTTGATTTAAAAGATCTCACATTTATTCCACTGAATTCTATGTAAATATGAATCTGCTCTCTTTTTTTTATATCTGCGGTGATCTAGTGGGGGATTCTAATTGTACATTATCTAAATTCACAACAACAGGGTTATACAACCTTTGAATGTCTAGAAAGCCAATGGTCTTAGGGAAAAATTTCATCCTAAACTGGGCATAAACAGATAATAAGAGAGACCAGAGGGGCTCCGAAAGCATAAAAATGAGGAACGTGTGACTCTAGGCTGGAAAGTTCATGTAAGAAAGAAAGAAGTGTTAGGTCAGCCAGTCACACAAGGCAGAACCACAGGAGGCACAGGGAGGAGCTCAGGAGATACCTGCCTGAAGACACTGGCCTTTCTGATCTACAAGAAGTCCAGGAGCATGGGTGGGCTCCAGGATGCATGTGAGGAAGCCTATAAGACCTGAGGCAGAAGGGTGCTACGGAGCAGATCCTTGCAGGCCTGAGGCCAGACTGAGTCGCTTTAATTCCAAAAGAAAAGGTTAAGCTCTGGAAAGTTTCAACCAGACAAGAAATATAATCAGACCTGTGGCAATGCTGGTAGGAAGGCTGGCTAGAAGACAGGGTGAGTGAGACAGACAAGAAATGACATGCTGACTAGACCATGGCAGAGAAGTGCCACACGGTGTGTGGAGGTAGACGGGTCCAGGAACCGTGATATAGGAAAAAGTGGGTGGTTTCTCCCAGGCTCATCATTTGAGTGGATTTCACTACTCAGTGCTGGTTCCATCCACATGGTGGAATGGACTTGGGGAATGAAAGATGGGTTAACCAGTTGCATTTGAAGGACGCAAAGAACTACCAACTGAAGACGTTCAGAAAGTAGAAAGAACTCCAGAGACAAGTTTAGACTCTCCATGGAGAACTGGGGCAGGGACACGTTAGTGAGTTTTAAAGCTGCGAGGGGAAATGAGATTATCTAAGGAAATTTCTAGAATGAGGACAAAGTTAGGAAAACCATAGTTCAAAGGCAAATTAGAAGATAAGAAAATAAGGCTGGAAGGGAGTGTGGAGAGGAGAGACATCTCATTTCCCAAGATGGAGGGAATGTGGGTCTTATAAAGGATAGAGGGCTACGGAGAGGTTAAGCTTCCTGCCTCAGAATGACTTCTCCTTCCTCTCCAGAGTGGGAAATACGCATGTGGGCATGCACAGAAAGTTAGGCAATGACAATGGGTACATGTGGAGCAGCGGGAGGCAGGAGAGGCAGCTGTCTGGGCCACATAGTTCAGCAACGATGACAGGAAGTCTCACCCTGCAGTAGCAGCTTGAGCACAGGGCACAGAAGAAGAAAGACCGTGCTCATTCAGAACTCTGCAGCTAAAAGTAACCTTGCAAACTAGTCTTCCTCTCTTCCCCTTCCTGCTCTGAGTACACACGTGTGCACGTGTGTGTCCATATATATGTTCGCTATACACAGTGAACATGTTATGAGGGCACATATGCACATGAGTGTAGAGGCTAGAGTTTCCTCAGGTTCTGCCCACAATTGTTTTTCAGGCAGGGTCTCTACTGACCTAGAACTTACCAAGTGTAGCTAGGCTAATTGGCCAATAAGCCTCAGAGCCATGCCTGTCCCTGCCATCCCAGCACTGAGATTACAAGTGTACACCACCACACCTATTTGGGGGGTGGGCGGGGGGGGGATGACAGGGGACAGTACACTCCATGTGTGCATGTGCCCTAAGAGATCAGGGCAAGGCATCAGATCCCCTTGAGCTGGAGTTCCAGGTGGTCATTAGTTTACATGCTGTAGATATCAGGAACAGAACTCAGGTCCTCTGGAAGAACAGCAACTCTTAACCACTAAACCATCTCTCCAGTCCCAAAACTCATCATTTTTTAAAACATGGGTTATGTAAATCAAATTCAGGTCTTCACCCTTGCAAGGCCTTGCAAGCACTTTAGTGACTGAGTATCTCCTCAGCCCCTGCTCTCCACTTGATTTCTTTGGTTCTCCACGGTCCCCAATATTACAACCAGTGTCAAATAAGGAACACACAGGCTCTTTAGGGATCAGCTCCAGAAAAGGGCCAAAAGAAAACAAAATATGCCGGGCGTTGGTGGCGCACGCCTTTAATCCCAGCACTCGGGAGGCAGAGCCAGGCGGATCTCTGTGAGTTCGAGGCCAGCCTGGGCTACCAAGTGAGCTCCAGGAAAGGCGCAAAGCTTACAGAGAAACCCTGTCTTGAAAAAACCAAAAAAAAAAAAAAAAAAAAAAAAAAAAAAAAAAAATATGTGGGTCATATACTCTTATCTCCGCTATGACAGGCAGGGGACATCATATATTGTGTTTCCATGTTGTTACAGCCAAGGATACACCTCTCAATCAGGATCCCAGAAATGGTGAGAGATTCCACCCCATCACTCCACCCAAACAACTCTCATCTAATCCGGCAGTCAGCAACTCACTGTATGCCCTCCAGCACCACTTCCCTGAATTTAGCTCTCACAACTCTGCAGCATCTTGCACTATCAACCTCTCTGGGAACATGCCTTTAGCTCACGTGGCTGTTTTCCCCTCCCACCTCTCCCATGGTCTAAAGATTCATCTATTTATTTTTTTTTTATTTTCCTACCTACTTAATCTGCAGTCATGAGGTGATCTAATTCATATCCAGGAGTTCAAAGTGATGCCCAAATCTATACCTAACCCACACCTCTGTCCTGAGACCCATGAGTCCCACATGGAAGAGCTTTAGGAAATACATTTCCAAAACTGGACTCATTTTTGCTTGCTTCACTCACCCTTGCAAGAATCCCAGGAGTCATTCTTTAGGGATCCCAGGAGATTTCCTTCATGGCCCCCACCCACATGTGCCCAACCTATGCTCACAGTCCAACATATTTGTGGATTATATCATATTGCAATGTCAGAAATCCCTGGACCCTCACCTGATCTAGCCCTTCCCAGTCTCCGTCTCTCAGCATGGCCTCCCATAAATCCTTTATATCAGCTGTATAGAAGTACATGAACCTCCATACAGACTGAATGTTCATGTCCCCAAATTTCTTACATTGAAACCAGTATGGGTAGTATTAGGAAGCAGGACCTTCAGTGTACTTAAGTCATGAGGTTAGAGCCCTCAAGAGTGAGATTACTGCTCTTATAAAAATGACCCCATAAGAGTTTCTATATTCTTTCTACCATGTGACCTTACAGTAAGAAGATGGTTATCTGTGGACCAGAAAGCAGGCCCTCACTAAACACTGAGTCTGTCAAAACCTTGGCCTCAGGCTTATTGGTCTCTGTGACTAGTGAGATACAAACTTCTAAGCTTCCCAGCCTGCTATTCGGTTGCAGGAGGCTGGATGGACTGAGACACCCCCCAAACACCTCTTTCTTGGCTCCAAGTATTTACAGACACTGCTGCCTCTACCTGAGCATCCTAATCGTCCTTACGGTCAGCTCCTTCACATGCCACTCCAGTTGTGCTTGGGCTCCACCATGCTGGCGCTTCCTCTGAGATCCCTATCCTCGTCTCACCAGAAGGTGCTTCCTGCCTCCCCTCAGCTCCTCAAACTCACCCTGACAATGACAATCATAAAGGCTTAAGGAAGATTTTCTCCACAAAGGCCCTCCAGCCTGAGGACCATGTGGGGGTAGGAGCATGGTATCTGTACACTAGTTGTCCTTCGCTTCATTTGCTGAAGTATGAATTGTTGTTGAAATGAAAAAGAGCTTGACACTGACCCAGTGCTGGCTACATGATGTTTCTAAGGGATGGCATGTACTTAGAAAAATAGAGAGGCAGATCCATGGAGGAAGATGAAGTGGCTGCCACGGGTGTCTTGAGGAGTTCATGGCACCTTTATCTTCACTGGGAAGAAGCCCAGTGCACAAGGAGTCATGAATTATTAACTGGAGTAGCAGGAAGGGCCAATTTGGAAAGTAGTCTAGCATAAGCAATTAAAGTAATTTATCATGTGAAAATCTATTTCAGAAAGTTAAGACACTCAGTTTCCTTATCACAACTAATGTGTCTAATCTTGCCTACAAAAATGGGGCCAAAGATTTAAAGATTTAAAACTGGCTCAAATATTTTGAAAGGAAACCAAGAGAACAGACAAAAGGCCAAACATCATCACCCACACCCATAATCTCAGCACCTGGGAAGCTGAGGCAGGAGGATTATGAATTTACATAACTCACTAGATTACATAACATGATCCTGTCTCAAGGAGACCAAAACGTCAGGGTGGAGGGAAGGGGGAAAGGAATAGGGCAAAACTGTTGATCCCTGGTGGGTTTTGTTTTGTTCTGATTTGATTTTTAGTACTGAGTCAAACCCAATACCTTATGCCTGCTAAATGGGCGCTTAGCCTCTGAGCTATATCGCCACCATAACCTAACATGACGCCATGCCCAAGGCATAAATGAACACTAATAAACAGACAGCTACAAGCTGTTGAGTCTGAGAGTATGGCCTTCCAAGACATAAGAATGCATTTCACTGCCAGGCATGGTGACATACCTTTTAATTCCAGCACTCAGAAGGCAGGGGTGGGTGGATCTCTATGAGTTCCCAGCTAGCTAAGATAATAAATACAGTGAGACCCTATGTCAAAAAAAAAAAAAAAGCCCCACTCTCCATGAGGTTATACCCTTGCTGTCTTTTATTTACATTCTGTTTTAAAGGGATAGGAATTTATTTCTTTAACTATCATCAAATTTCACCAACCTTCCAAACGAGCGCTCTTCCTACAGCTAAAACTGGATAAGGAAGGGGAAAAGTGGAATGAATCTGTGCCATTGTAATCAGCCATCATGTTCAGACTTTCACACACCTTCTTGTAAGCTATCTTATGAAAGTTCCCCATCTCTCCCAGACACTAAAATACATCAAAAGCCAAGCTCAGGCTGGAGATGGCCTTCAGTACAGGAGTGCTTGTCTAGCATGCACATGGCCCTGGCTTCAATACAAGTTCCAAAAAAATGAAACTTAAAATTTATAAATTATTGGAAACCCAGAAGCAGATTCATATCACTGAAAACATTGAGTGTTGTACTTTTTATATAGGGTTAGAAGACCCTTAAGATCTTCACTGATGGCCATAAGGGGGCAGTATATGTCACTGAAGAAGCAAGGGTATTACAAAAATCAATTTCATTCTGGTAATTTGATTCCCTGTCTCAGAAAACCTCTTATACCAGTTTCCAAGCACTGGATCTAACTTAAGCACTCAGTATAAAACAAAGGAGATAAGAAAGAGAAAAAAAAACCTTCTTCATCTTCAATAATAGCTTTTATAATGCAAGTGGGATATAATTATATAGATTTCAAGTGCAAGAAAAACAACTTTATAGCTGACTGTGCTTATCTGAATAGACCTAAAACAGAGCTTCAATATTATGTTGTGTTACATAATAATGCCAGCTTTCCATCACCTCTGCCTAATAAAAAATTGTACCAGAGCATTTTCAAAGTTTCAAGCCAAAATAAAATATATCTTAAAAAAAAAACCTCAGGTCATCAAATAACTGAGCCAAGCACCGAGAGTTTCCTGACTCTCTCTTCCCACCTCTGTAAGTACAATCATAACCTGGGAGCTCAGTGCTTGTTAACATGTAAGAGAATTTCACAGAAAACTACCATACATTGAGGTCAGTTCCTGTGCAGGGGATGGCTTCCATTCTGCTCTCTGGGATGGGAAGGGCAGGGCAGGAGAAAAGTCCAAGGGAAGAGTCAGTCCAGGGACTCATTGCCATAGACATTCTTGTGAAAGTGGGGATATAAAGCTCCCTAGTGGGTATGGGGAGTCTCTGCAGGAGGGGAGGGGGTGAGGAAAAGAAACAGGACAAAGGTTGGTTTTCCTTGTGCTACTAGAGATGAATGTATGTTGTATCTCAAAATGCCCTCCCCATTTTTCTAATAGAAAGTGAGTTAGAGAAACAATATTAGCTTTTAGGGAGACTATGTACCACCCAAGTAAAGTAAGCTCTTGGAAGTTAATGGTCTTCCTCCTGCTTCGTCTCGCTCACATCCACAGCTTGCCCTACCTCCCATATTAGCTGAGGGCTAGTGAAGAGAAGTGCAGAAACATGGTGTCTGTGAGCTTCTACCAGGGAATAAAGTAGTAATAAAAATTGTAGAACACTGTCAAAAGGTAATTTGAGGGTCAGGCCCAGGGCAGGTTCTTTATTTCCCTCTTCTACTGCTGGGTCTAAAACCTGGCAAACAAATGAGATGGAATCCTTTCCACAAGTCTTTCCCAGAAGCCAAGCAAGCTGGACAGTCATGCATCTTAATGCTCACTATGACAAAGCAGAAACCTGGCATCTCCATCAGCATTACATGGGAAGGACCCAGGCTCCTGAAAACACTCAATGATATGTTTACACTCTCCCACAAGGCACTTCCTTGGTCAGCTCTCCTTCATCTTTATAGTGAGGTAGGGAGAGGATGTGGAATGCTGGTCGGCCCCAGGATAAACAAAGTAAAAAAAAAAAATCAAACATGGGAAGAGAAGAAATAGAGGATCATTTAAAATCTCGGAAACAGGAACACACAGTTTCTTACTCATAAAGAGGGCAAATGGATGAAACAGTAAGCCAGTGAGAAAGAATCCCATAGTCAGTCCCATGAGGCAATGGCCTGAGCCAACATCTAACCAAGAAATAGCAATACTAATAAAGTGGGATTAAAGATGCTTAATTAAGTATTTAGGACAAAGTAAAGTCTGCAAATATTTGGAAGAGACTGCCTGCCATCTCTAGGAGGATAGAGAAGAGGGCATAAGTGCCAGAAAATAAATGTAAGAGGGAAAAACCTACAAGACAAATAGGCTTGCAAAGCAAGACTAGCCAAATGTAATTAACTCGCATGGTGCTGAAGCAGCGTGGGGTCACTGAAGCAAAACAGAGCAACTGGTCAACCCAATTGTGTCATGCTCCAAACTTGTGTGAGGCTTCAAACTTGTGTGATGCTCAAAACTTGTGAGATGCTTCAAACGTGTGTGATGCTTCAAACTTGTATGATGCTCCAAACTTAGGAACCATGAACTACAAATGCAGCAATCAGGGCAGAATGCTACCTAAGGAAAGGTGACATAATCTCACAAATGTGTAATTGATTCCACTGAGGAATCAAATCTCTACTTAGCCCTCCATGCATTCTTTCAGTGTCTAATGCACTTTCTTTTCTTTTCTTTTTTTCTTTTCTTTTCTTTTTTTCTTCTCTTTTCTTCTTTTTAGATAGAGTTTCTTTGTGAAGCACTGGCTGTTCTGAAACTCATTCTGTAGACCAGGCTGGTCTCAAACTCAGAGATTCACCTGCCTCTGCTTCTTGAGTGCTGGTATTAAAGGCGTGCACCACCATTGTCTAGCATCTGATGCATTTTCATTTACAAGTTTGTACTAATGAGCCCCACAAATTGAAATGCCTCCCTCACATAAAATCCAACAAATTGCAGCATGCAGGCTGTGAAGGTTTTGCGTGTGTATGTGGTTGGGAAAACATAAAAGGAAGATTGTGTTATTATAAATGAAATCCAAGTTTCTATGCACATGATAGTTTTACTGGAATGCAGTCTGCTTAAAAATATCTAGGCTTATTGGCAGAGTTGAGTGGTTGAGGCTGTGAAAGATAGACTCTAGAGAATGCCTGTGGAGTCCTGGTCTAAGATACTTGGAGACAACAGACAGAACTTTGACCCTAAGTCAAAGTTATTTCTGATAAAAAAAAAATCTTTGAGACAGGTGAGTAAAAGTTAACAAAAAAAAATTTAAGAAGATGAATGTCAGAAAGTTCAAGAGGATTTAGGCTAGCTAGGGGAGGTACGGGGGCACACACCAGGGACTCACCAGTAAAAGTGCTCTTCCACCATCTTGGTCACAGCTCTTGAGACAGCTCTTTCATGAGGGCCAAGGTTTTTGTTCAAGTTCACTCCAAGCTTCTCTTCCAGAAAGTCGATTATGAACTCTGTGCCAGACACTTTTTCATTATTATATTCAATCCAAGGCATTTTCCCCTGAGCAGAGAGCTTTCCACCAAAATAGTTCTAAATAGCATTTTTTAAAAAGAGAAAAGCAATGTGTATATAAATTTCACTTATTAGCAGAAACAAACATTGCAACCCATCAGTGCTTGTGTCCATATTATTTACTCAAATGAACTCAGCATCTTAACTCTTTAAGATCATTACTCTAGAAGGGGAGAAGGATAGCCTTTTACTGAACATTGAAGTATTAATTTATTCTCATAGGTTCTACATGGACTCAAATTCTATCTGGATTAGGGAAGGAAGGAGACTCTGAGGCAAGGAGTGGGAGAAGGAAGGGGTGGGTTCAAAATGAACAAGACTAGCTATAAATGTGCAAACTATCCACAATAGAAAGAAAGGTGAAAATAAACCACAAAGAAGCTTGTACCAATGTAGTATCCAAAGAACTCACTTGAAATCCAATATGCTGCATCTGAATAATGCATATTGTCACTACACTGAGAGCGAGCGGTCCTCTAAATTATCATACTGAGATTTAAAAAGAACACACAACAGGCTCAACTGCTGTGTCTCCTAAAGGAAATTCAGCAGGTTCCTGGTTTTCAGCCCAGACCTTTAACTTCTAGTCCTGGAGTGGTACCCATATCTGTCCAGACAAGCTCTATTTCGATCTATAAGCATGTTAGAAGCTTACGGTGTCTCAGAATATTATGATCCAGAAATGAAGAGTGGCCAGATCAAGTCACACAGTTTATTATTAAAATTACAGTAAATGTATAAAAGTAAAAATGTATAAAAAGTGAAGACCTAGACCACATGAATGGAGGGGATTCTGGAGAATTTCATGTCTTCAATCAGATTTCTCAATAAATATAGTCATTTAAACTTCAGGTTGATTGTATCCACTGTCTTACAGACTACATGATCTCAATTAATCTGATTGTCACAAACTCTTCCTCATACTTTGTACAAATAGATAATGCAAATACTGTTAGATATTGGCAAATGTTAGCCCCTCTGAGAAAACTGGTACTCGAAAACTCGGTGGGCAGGCATCCATTTGTACATATAAGCTTGGATTGAGCTTCAGGGTCCTGAAATTCTCAAATTGGTAGGTGTTCTCACCTTTTCAGAAGGCTCAAAGCAAAGTGTGAACTAGCTAAATGCCACTTATCACTATCTTTGGTAGAGTGATCTCTGTTCGTAGAGTCCTGATACTTTATCTCATTGTTTATTATCAAATGAAAGTGGGCCTAGCCTGAAAAAGTGGTAACTAAATACAGATTGTCTATGCCCAATGTAGAAAATGGAATGTCCTCTAGTTCCCCTCTAGTAGTATACTCATGTAAATGCTAGACACAAAGGTGTGTGTTTGTCCCCCCAGGAATGGACAGTGGAAACAGATCTGTTGCAGAATATTTCTTTACACTGTGAAGATGTGTCTTTGCCAAGGCACCTTCTGATTGGTTTAATAAAGAGCTGAATAGCCAATAGCTAGGCAGGAAGAGGTTAGACAGGACTTCGGGGAACAGGGAGGACTCTGGGAAGAAGAAAGGCAGAGTCGACAGCCAGACTTGGAAGAAATAGGAAATACAAGATGGAAGAGAGGTAACACTGTGTGGCAGAATATAGATTAATATAAATGGGTTAATTAAAGTTATCAGAGCTAGTTGAGACAAGCCTAAGCTAAAGACTGAGCTTTCATAATTAATACAGGTCTCTGTGTCATTACTTGGGAGTTGGCTGGCAGGACATAAAAAGACTCATTACACACCTCTCTGGAAGTTACTAGGGCACCTGACATTCATGTAATTTGTATTCTAGAGGTGTACAATCACCATACAACACTGCCTTTGCTCTCGATTTCCCTTGCTGCACTCGTATCCTCCCAACAGATCCCTTTCAGACTCATCTCTTCAGATGTAATCTAGCTTCAATGATGCCATCAGAAGAAACTCTTTACAGTGCAAATGAGGGCAAATATTCTTCCTCAGAATCACTGAGTTGCAATTACACATGGTAGCATATGCTTGTATTCCTGAACTCAGGAGGCTGAGGCAGGAGGATCACTTTAAGTCTAGGGCCAGGTTGGACAACACAGTTGAGTTCAAGGTCAGTCTGGGCTACATATTAAGACCTTGTCTCAAAAAATAAAATAAAACAACTTAAAGTGCTTACTATGTAATCAAGGTCAGAGTTCAGATTCCCAGAGCCTATGTAAATGCTAGGTAGACATGATAGCTCATCTGTAATTCCAGCCTTGGAGACAGGATCCCAAAGCAAGCTGGTGGGTGAGCTGAGACAAATCAGCTAGAGAGACCCTGCCTCAGTGAATAAAGTGGAAGAGCAACCAAGGAAGATTCTCATTACCAACCTTGGACCTCCAAATACACACCCTTGCACTGGCACACACACACACATCCCAACATGCATGCACATGCACACCACACCACATGAAAGCATGAAAACAAACAAAACAAAATTCAAGAGCTGAGGTTGTAACTCAGTGGTAGATCACTTGTCTCCCATACATTGGCCCTTGGTTGACCCCAGCACCCTCCTCTCACAAGAAACAAATTCCAGTGGTGAACTACACTCACACCAGCCAGTAGCTGCCACCTGCCAGCCTCACTGGTTATCAGTCTTTTCTGGTTCCTGCTTCAACTTCCACGCCCAACTAGACCACTCAGAACAGTCGCTACTTTTATAGGAATCCCTCTCCCCATCCTCTGCAATACCCTGCTCTCCTAAACAGTTTTGTTCCAAATGAACTACTTATCCAGGGTGAAACCATTATCTGCCCTTCCTTTGGCTTCCACTAAACAGTGTACATTCCTCTCCCCTAAAGAAGAACTGTTCCCATATCTGTCCCTAGACTATGTTCTCTCATGGTACATGTTTGTGTGACTCCCATTCTACTTTGGAAATATCTGGACATAGTGGTGCATGCCTTTAACACCAATAATAGGGAGGCAGAAGCAGGGAGTTCTCTGTGATTTCGAGGCCAGCCTGGTCTACATAGTGTATTCCAGGACAGGCAGGGTTACTTAGTGAGACCCTGTTTCAAAAAACAAAATGAACAAAAAACTACAGAAATGAAAATTAGAGATCATTCTGAAAATGATTAACTCGAGTATGTTTTCATAATCAAATTTTGATTTACAGCTAAAAAGCAGGAGAAAACATTTTAGAGACAAATATAATTTTCTTAGATATGATTATATCTAAGTAAGATACTGCCATTATCATCATTTTGAGATGAAGGATTTCAAAGTCTAAGAGAGATTTCCTAGTCTTAGGTTTCTGACTTGCTCTACTGCCCACTGAATCTTCAGCTCAATTGCTATCCAATATGTAAGGAGGTGAATACTCACTGCACTCCAGAAATAACTACCACCAGATACCTTCCATTGGCTACATTTGAAATAATTTGACTACCTTTTGAAAACTATAACAGATTGGGAAAAGTCCATGTATCTAATGTATACTGTAGTTTTGTAGAAAAACTGTCTTTATCTGGGAAATATGCATGTTAATGCATTTTAAGTGAAGTGTCGTAATTTTTGCACAGTACTTTCAAATGATGTATCAAAAACATGTTCCAAAAGACTATAAAAAGAGAGCTAAAGCAAAGGAGGCCAAATAATTACCATAAGTGAACCCGTGGGTAAGGACTGGGGGTGTTCATTATACTATTCATTTAAGTTGTCCATAGGTGAGAGAAAATCAAGCCAAAGAGATGGGAAGACAGGATGAGCACTGGAATAGAACATCGGAAGTGAAGGGTGAGGACCATGCAGGGGGCTTTAGCCCTTGCCCAGTACAAATTCCTGGGCAGGGGAGCCAGCATCCCTGATAGGAGATCTAAAACAAACACTAGACCTCTGAGAGGTACAACCACCACAAGAGAAATGTAGCAAGCTGAATACAGGCAACATGAAACAGAAATGCTGGGACAGACCAGATGCTTTTAGTTAGCATAACAAATATCCTCCCACAGATAAAGGGAGAAATTGGGAAAACTGACTAAGGAGATACACTTCTAAGAAAAGATAAAAGTCAACTGTAGTCAACAGTTGGCCAGGAATGGTAACACACACCTGCACGTGTGAGGTAGAGGCAAGAGGAAAGGCCAACCAAGGCAACACAGGGAAACCATGTAAAAAAGAAAGAACACTACAGAGGAGAAACACAGTGAGGGGCTGGAGAGACGGCTCAACAGTTAAGGGCATACTGCTATTCCAGAGACCCCAAGTGTGATTCCCACCACTCACACCAGGCAGATCACAACTACCTGTAACTCCAACTTTAAAGGATCACCTGTGGCCTCGACAAGCACCCGTAAGCACATGGGCATACCCCCAGACACACAGGCACACACAATTAAAAATGTTTAAAAAATGGTTGCAAAAATGGAATCCTGCACTGCAATGGAAGCTCCACAGGAGGAAAGTTCCACATGGAAGCAGAGACTGACAGGACAGCACAGAGACTGGGAAATAAAGCAGAGATCCAGACAACAGGAAACAGGCAGGGAACATGATTAAAGGGAATATTTTAAGACTATTGATCATTAGTTTCCCCAGAATTTAAAAAAAGCACACAGTCCATCTCTCTCCAGTCAGAGTGGCTCTCTCCAAGAAAACAATTGACAACAAATGCTGATAAAAATACAGAGAAAGAACAACACTTAGGCACTGTTGGTGTAGATATAAATTGGTGCAGCCAATATGTAGAATGAAGGTTCCTCAAAAAAGCTACCATATAAACCAGCTCTACCACTTCTGGATATATAACTGAAGGAAACCCAGTCAACATTCACATGTTTTGTTTAATGCAGCACTATTCCCAACAGCCAACTTAAGAAACTAGCCTAAATGTCTGAAAATATGGGAATGGATAAAGAAAATACATTCTATGTACACAGTGGAGTTTTACTCAGCCATAAAGAAGAATGAAATTCTGTCAGTTACTGGAAAATGGAGTGAACTGGAGATCACTGCGGTAAGTGAAACACACCAGACTCAGAAAGAACAAGTTCACATTTTCTTTCATATGCAAAAACCTAGATTTAAATTTTTACATATGCATGCACCTGTGTGTGCCATGAGACTAGAAAGAGGACCATGAGATGGGAAGAAATCTGCAACAAAATGTTGGAGACAGAGAGGGTGATGGGATTCATATGAACACTAAAGAAGGAGACTATTTGGGGTGAAGAACTGGACCATCAAGAGAGTAGGGGAGCAGTGGAGCACAGGGCTAAATTAGACAGAGAGTAACGACACAAGTGTAAGAAAATGTTCCACTCACAACCAAACAAACTACTAACTAAAACAACAGCAAAAACCAAACCAGCCTCCCTGTTTCTAAACTTTGCATCTTCATGGGGTCAGATTTTCTTCATCGATTTCAGACATCAGCCAAAATGAAATATTGAGTGTAAAAACAAATATGAGAATATAGCATTTACCTAATAAGCTAGAAATAAAATAGATTCATAAAAATGCAAAGGAGTAATTTTTTCAGTAAACATTTCTATGTTGTAAAAATTTGTTTACTATTCTAAGAAATGTCATTTACGATCATGTGTGTTTGTCTTGTTAACGCTAAAGATTTAAAAGGTACAATTATGTTTAATAAAAGAAAAAATGCTATAATGAAGTCCATTGCTTTTTATGTCAGCTTTAATAATTGTTAAAGAGACAAAAGACACATAAGAACTCATATTGAAAAAGTTTATAAAAAGAACTAGAGGGGTAGTGGACTTAGAAAACTAAAACATTTTTAAATGTGATCATTTGTAGCATGTGTACCTAAAAATATAACTTCAAATATATAAGTAGTATTAAAGCGCTAACAGAGCAGCAAAAAGAGGACCAATCAATGAAGACTTGAATGCTTTACCCTTTTCAGAAACTAACAAGCAAACCATTTTAAAAGAGCAAAATGCAGCTCTCAATAACACACCAGATATTTTCAAGCAAGTAAACAAATAAGCTGCTCCACACTGATAAGATTTACTTAATTCTTTTCTACTATCTTAAAAAAAAATAATAACCACACAATTGAATAAAGTCTCAGTAAACTGAAGGAATTGGTGTCACAGAGATGATTTTCTCTGACCATAATATCAAAAACAAACATAGACACAAAGCTTTGAAAACTCTCCCTACAGTTAGAACTTGTTAAAAAAAGGAAAACATAAGGGAAAAACTTAAAGCTACATAGAGAAGTGGCAACAATAACAAAAAACATAGCAAATGCGTTAGCTAACTTGAGCATCGCTGAGGGAAAACTGGATACCTTCAAATACATACTTTTGTTAATTCTTTTTTATGGAATAATGCTTATTTCTATCTTTAGGAAAAAAATCTGTAAATTCATATATATACATATGTATATTAAAATAACCCATGTTCTAAACTTCAGTAATTACTTATAATTAAGATTTTGGCTTATTTCCTTTTCTCATGGTGTGAAAATACTTGCAAATCACTTATTACACATAAGTGTATATGTATGTGTATGCATGTATATATGGGTATGTGTGTTTCTTTTTCCTTTTTTCTTGAATTGCTTCTTGTAAGTATTTTTAGATTTATTTACTTTATGTGTCAGTCTTTTGCCTTCAAGTATATCTGTGTACCACATGCTTGCCTTGATGCCTGAGGTCAGAAGAGGACATGGGATCCCATATAACTAGAGTTACATATGATCAAGAACCACCATGTAAGGACTGGGAACCAAACCAGGATCCTCTACAGGAGTCACAGATCTCTTAACCACTGAGCATCTCTCCAACATCCTTTGCGTCTTTGATGCGGAAATGTACAGGTATTTCCTTGAAAGTCACTTGTGCAGAACATGGAAAAATTCAAAAATATATTCAAAGATCAGAGCTATAGCTAAGTGGTAGAACATGAGATGCTAGCTTCAATCCCTGGTACTGCCAATCTATTTTTTTCAAAAATGTGCCCAATTCCTACTGTGCCCTCTAACCCCACATTCGTAGAGGACAAAATGATGAGTGAAAAACCTAAAAGAGAAGTCCCACCAGGCAGTAGCACACTCACATTTCTCACCAGCTGCCCTGGATGCCTCTCCAAACCTCCAACCAAAGGACCCATTAAGAGAAATACTATGATTCCTTCATTAAAACTGATGTAAAAAGAATTCAATACACCCTGGAATCCAAGTATCTCTCTCTTACTAGAGACTGGGGTCTAACCTTCAGACCCTTCTACTCTGACATCCATTTATGACATTAACTACACCCTCCTCTATGTGATATTGAGACCATAAAAAATAAAACATATTTGCAAACAAGTACCTGATAAGGTAGGTCAGCCATTCTTAAGTATGTTTCCATTTTCAAACAGAAAGGAGATAAGCTGGGGACTCCATTGTTAGGTCTTGCAAACTGATGTAAAATAATAGCATCCTTGGAGTCAAGCTCTTGCTGTTTCCTGTCAAAACCAAAACAGAAATGAAGAACAGTCTGCATGTTAGTTTTCTGTTGCCTTGGGGCCTCAAGAGGACCCTGTAGGGTTGTAGGCTTCTGTGCACAAGCGGAAGTGTGTGCGACAGGTCTTACCTCATCCAGTGTTTAGAGAATGGAAGTGGAGCGGACATACAGGTGGACCTTACAAACTCTGAAGTGACTATAATCCAGTGGCTCTGGGAAGTAACTACAAATCAACATGCAGCCTATGGGCAAGAGGAGTAGTGTTGGAACAGGTATTTTGTGCTTACTATGTGTTCCACCATGCTCATTTCATGGGTATTATCTCATTTAATCTTCAAAACAACCCTATGAAGTAGATAAATGACATATATTTCAGGGATGCAAATACTAGAAGGTGAGCATGGTACTTCAGGCCTTTAATCCTAGCTCTCAGGAGGCTGAAATGGATCACTCATTTACGGCCTGCCTGGACGACAGAGAATCCTGGGTAGAGACATAGTCACATTGCAGAGCCTGAACGGTGCCTCTATGCCTGCCTTACCCAAAACATGGAAACAGACCCTTCTCAATAAGGTGAGGAGATAACCGAATGAGTCTGCTGTGGCATGATGCACATCTACAGGGAATCTGATACTAAACATTCAGGCTTTTTTTTATATTGATAATCACAAGGATTAAATAAAACAATATCTGTAAACATTTAGTAGGCTATTAAGCATTGACGTGTAGAAGAATTTATTCTTACACAACAAGATATGCTCTTGTTCACTTACAAAATCTTCCCAGTTCACCCAATCTGGCTCATAAACTCCTCAGAAACCTATTACAATTTCCATCTTTTTGTCTGCCTAGTTTTTCCCAGTTAGATAAACTCCATTCTCAAGGCTTGACCCTCCATAAGCTTCTACTTCCCTCTCCAAATTCCAGTTTAATTCTACACCTACTTCTGGCCAAGCGGGAATGGCTTGTCACCTACACCATGCGATGCTCACTAGCTTCAGCATTTCCACTTCATAAAACAAGTTCTCTTGAGGTTTGCTAACCAAGGGCCTAGGCAATTTAAAGAACTCAGAATGACTCATTCTGGAATTACAAGCCAAAAAATTAAAATATTTACTATGAAACAAAGGTTTTCCTTTCTGGGAAATGTGTGGGAGGTCAGGTATTAAAATCCAGGACTCATTTTGACTGTCAGCAGACAACACAAATTCTACAATTCGCAGCTGACTTTGCCCAGTAAAATAATTCACATCACAAAGTGGCATTTTCATGTAAATTAGCAAGGCAAAAATTTAAGAACTAAAAGGAGATAAATATGAAATCCTCTGCCCTACTGGCCAGAAGAACCAAATTCTAAAGGTCCACTTAGGACCCTCATAGTCAAAATAGATGCTGCTCAGGTGTCAACATGTGCCAATGACTTTATAAACACTGCCCATATTAACCTACTTAATTCTGATAACAGCAATCTACAGTGGACATTGTTAGAGTTTAACTTTGGGACACCACACTAACATTTTACAGTAGACAGGAAAGTCAGAGTGTAACTTGCCCAAGGAACATCACTTTCAGATCAAGTGTGTCAGACCAAGACTGGTGGCAGATCCCAGCCATTCAGAAGGCATAGGCAAGAAAACTGCAAGTTCAAGGCTGGCCTAGACAACTCAGCTAGACCATGTCTCAAAAAACTAAAATGCCAAAAGTGGAGTGAGGTGAAGATCCAGTCCTGTGGTGGGCTACTCAGCTTCCATGGGTGAAGCACTGGGTTCAACCCCCAGCAAAAATGAAAAAAAAATAAATATATATATATATATATATATATATATATATATATATATATAAAGTTTGAAATAACTCTAGATCTCAAGAGTCCAAAGAAAAGAAAATTTGACAATTCCTTGATTAGTTTTTATTAACACAGTCACTCTGACTCAGCTAGCTAGTGATGGCTAATCTTACTGAATGCCCATATAACAAACGGTCCTAAGTAGTTCCCATATGTTAACATATTAAATCAATTGGATAAGGAAGGCTACTGTTATTATTTCTACTCTATAGATAATACTACTTGAGAATTTATTAGCATCCAAGGTGGATGACTGGCTAAGCACAGAATCCAATTTGAACCCAGATAGTCTGGCCCGACAGGCATCCTTCTACTTGTCAGAGCCTTTCCCCTAGTTTAGGGTCAGGACCTTCCTGTGTGGTTTATTTCCTAAAATGGCCTTAGAATGAGATTTGAAGAGAGAACACCTGCAGAGGCCAGATGGCTCACCTAATAGGAACTAACAAGGTCCAGCCCCTGCTCTAAGGACATCACAAATGATCACGCCTCCGTAACAGGCAATGAGTCAATCATGGATATCAGATAGGGACCCTTCGGCTGGAGTACCTAAAGCTCAAATGAGCTCTGGGGAATGAAGTCATTATTTAGCCATTCCGTTTACAAACAAATTTCCAGATGCTTGAATGGATTTAATATAGATGCCAGGCCATTCTCCACTTGGGGGAAAACAAAGGGTTAAGACAATAATTATTTAAAAATATAACAATAGAGAAAATACAAATAGCAAAAATAATATCCCCCAGAGAAGCACCCATGCTTCACCCTAAAAACACCTGCATTGGTTATACTCATTAATTAGACTTCTTAAATGATCTGACAACTTCATTTTCTCATGAGACAAAACCATAGATTAAGGTTAATCTGGGCAACAGGAAGTCCAGGTAGGGTGGGGAAGAGCTGACAGTTGCCAATGAACTCAGACAGTGGGGGCCATGTTGTGCTCTATTTTCCTCCCACACATTTCATATTTTGATTTGTTCTTCTGCCTAAACTGTACAGACAGTGGAAGCTCAGATTTCACTGGAAGTGGAAGTTCCCCTGACTTGTACCTTCTGAAGCCTGTCTTAATGCTCCTGTCTGCTCCTTATCGCTCTACTCTTGGAAGCTGGAAGAAAGCTGCATCTTGACCATAGGCCTGTCTTCCTAGGAAACGCCCCCATTCTGCTCCTTTCTCATCCTTTCTCTACCACAAAGCAAGCATCTTCTCACAAGCAGCCAGGCTCCACATTGGAGCCTCGGTCTTACTCCTGCTTCTGCGTGATCTTGGGCAGGTAACTTAGCCTCCTTCTCCTCTGTAGTGGTAGTTGTTAAAGATACTTGCAATCACACACACAGAGTCCCGCTAAGTTCCCGAAACTTTGGCAGCCTTCTTTGTGCTTGTATTATAATAAAGTTTATCAATTCATTCATCAAGAAGCAAAAGTAAACGAACATGGGTCTTAAAACGTCTTGATCCAAGTAAGTCCAGAGCCGAGGCTTGTGGTCACCATAATGGGGAAAGACCTAGCGTGGGCAGAGGGCTTTAATAGTGTCCAAGATCCAGAGCTTCCAGGGCGTGGTCTATTCCAAAGTGAGCTTCCAAGGCCCCGTTATTTCTGCAAGGTCATCTAAGCCACATTTTGGATTCGGCCAGATGAAGCCTTCACTCTCCACAAACTGGAAAAATGCTGGGAAGCCACCTGGTGCAGGGACAGTCTTCACAGGCTTCGGGTTGAAATACAACCGAGAAACAATGAGCTACTGTTTAAAACGCTGCAGAGGTGTGTGGGAGTTCTTTGTATGGACTGAAACCTGACCTGAAATCTAAGTTCTAACACAGGCACAGATGGGGAGTAATCCTGGAGATATTTCACTTTAAAACTTCTGTATTTGGTTCAAGTAGATTCAAGGCAATGAACTAAATAAGATGCAGCAAACTTAAAACATACTTCTCAGTCTTCCAATATGGCTAAATAATATGAAAGCCAACACATTTTCTTAGCCCTAGCTGATTTCTTACCCTCTCAGAACCAACAAACTGTAAACACTGTGGGGCTTCTACAGTGTCCTCCTGGAGTTCTGCAAGGCCTTGGGAGGTCACCAGCGACTTTATAACCTCTGGAACTAAGCACCTTTATTCACTCACTATATTCTATTCACCAAACCCTTGAAAAATGTGCTGTTAACACATCCTTGTCCCTTCAGAAAATACTGGGCAGAAGGGAAATGCTGAACTACTGAACACTAGTCTGCCTCCAATGATCTCCAGTGACTGGGGCCCCAAATGCATGGGAATTTTAACCATTAACAGACATATCAGTTAACCAAAAACTGTCTCGGTACACTGTGGTATCACGTACTCCACTAAAGCCCTATGGGACTAGTCGTATCAACAGCAGGGGCCTCCATTTATTGTAATTCTCAAGTCAGCCCTGTACACATTCTGCGGCAGGCAGCCATGAAACTGTTTACAGCACAGGGAGACTCCCTGTTATGTCAAGTACCCCATGTGCTAGTGCTCCCTCGGAGCTCCCACTGATCACACAACAATGGCATTTAAACCTGAAGGTGCTCACAGTTCCATACCGGATAATCAGTAAGCAGGTTAAGGCTGCATCAAAACTGAACAGGGCGACACTTAGCCGAGCATCTTTAACAGCGACAGGGGGTTCCAGGCTTCTGCAACTGCAGCCTCTTAATGATGTTGACATTTAGAGAGGAGTAAGGGAGAACTAACCTTTTAAGTAAAGATGAGGTTAATACTTAATATTCCAGCATTATTACCCATAAACCAATTAGGCGTTTATAAAAGTGTACCTTCCTGTTTCTACAGAGCTTCATTCTATTGCTGCAGTTAGAATCTTCCTATGGGCTTTAACAGATTGTTTGGGTCCATAACACTAGTGACTCACAGCACTTTGCTTTTAGCATCGAAATGCTAGGAGGCAAATGCTTTCCCCTCCCAATTTAATTCTCCCATCAACTCTAAATGGCCCCTCACAAGTGGCCAGGTGACCATGAAACCCTTAGAGAGAAGATGAGAGAGGACGCTTGGACCTTTGGGCGGCAGGATGGAGGGGCTGGCCCCGGACCCTCCTTCGTGCCAGCCCTTCCCGGGCCAGGTGCCCCTGTAGGCTCCCGCGTGTGGGGACCCTCTCTGCGGCTCACCTAATGACCAGGAGTTCGTGGAGCAGATACGCAGCCGCGGCCAGCAAAGCTCCCCCGGTCAAATAAAGGGTTTTCTTCCACCAGGGATCCGAGCCCAGCCCTGCCATGATCCCACCGTAATCCTGCAAAGGGAAAGCGATGATGTCCCCATAAAAGGAGAAGGGCTCCTCGGACCCGGCCCACCAGCCGAAGAAGGAGATGCTCTGGTTCCAGCTCAGGTCCACCACGCACGGCCTGGACGAGGCAAAGCCAACTCCCCAGTGCATGCTGCGCGGCTGGCTCCGGGCGCCCCTCCCAGGGCCCTCGCAGCCCGCATGGGAAGGAGCCAGCGCCCGGGCGGGCGATCGGGCTCAGC